TTGAGAATAAATGGAGAACAAACGATTGCAACCATTACAAGCGAAAGACATTGTTAACAACAATGACTGCAACAGTTATTGCCAGATTTGAAAATATAAAAAAAAATACATTTTTTGATTGTATTTATATCGGAATAAATTAATTCTGGTGGTAGACCAATATCATCATTATATGATTGATTTGTACTCCGATTAATTTTTGAGATCACTTCATAAGAAACCTTACATAAATTTTGAGTTCATCGATTGATGAACAAAATCAATTTTTATAAGAATAAGAGAAAAAAAAAATTCAAGTTCATGTGTATTTATAGTAGAATGTGTATGGATTCATTTACACAAAAGGTCTTAAATACATGAAAACTTCAAATAAATGAAGTGTCGGAAGTTAGAAGTGTGAAAACATAAAAAATTATCTAGAGGAGAAACTAAAATTAACCAACTTCGTTACTGACATGTGATCAATAAATCATCATTAATTTGACAAAATGACAGAATGCATTAATAGGTAACCTTCATAATGCATTTGGTCTGTAATTTTGTTATCTATTTTTATGATCATGGACTGAGTTTTTCATTTTTATAGTATTTTCTCCAGAACCATACTAAAATAATCAAGAATTGTAAACGAAGGGGTGGTCATTTTAAAAAAAAAACAACTAAGGCCCTTAAAATGGAGGAAGTGTTTAACTAGTGGGCTGGGAAGGGGAGGGGAGGGGGCTAAAGAAAAAACACTGCTGACATATACCCCATATAAATCAAAGTATCTTTTAAATCCAAATATAGAGTTTACAAAAAACTAAAAACAATTTCTTAAAAACAAAGAATATCCGTAGCAGATATGCAAGTTTAAAATCAAGCCAGTTCCAGTACCTCGTCTTGTATGCAGTTATGTATAAAGTACCTCAGTTTTTCGGTTGGGGAGGGGATAGAGGAGAGAGAGGGTATGTTGTTTTTTTAACAAGTATATCAGAATAAAGATAAAGGAAAACATTAATGCCAAAATCTAGTAAATTAGTTTAGACAGCCTCTTGGTGCAAGGTCCATTATGCCATCATAATTATAATCTGAAGAGCCAATTGCAAAACATGGCTAAACGCACTAACAGTAAAGATTTTATATAGTTTGGACTGTAGCTATTGCTATCGAGGTTCAATGTAGAAAAATCATTTAAAACACGATGTCTAGAAAGTTTAAAATATGCATTTTCCAAATATTGACGTTTACGTCGAATATAAAGTTTATATATCTATGATTTTAGATTACCACTCCAACTTTGTTCATTCTAATGATAAAAGCATTCTCGTTCTGCCTGAAAATTCTATTTACGTCTCACTCCTCGAAGTCCAGAAGAGTTTATGCGATAGAAAGGTATCTGTCGTTTGCTTTCAGTATACTGTTTGTTTATTAATTTGTTTTTCAAAGCAATCAACAGTTTTGTTCTAAATTCAAGAAAACATACATGCAGTTCTGTAAACCAGGTCTTATTGTTATCAGCCAAGTTGTTATATTCAATTTGATTTCTTTTTTTTTTTTTTTGGCGATTCTTCAAAAATGGCTCAAATTTAGAGAACGTCAGGATACATAATTCATAAAATGTTTAAAATATCAAAAAAGATACAGCGTTTCAAGTTTCTATGCAACTTTCTCTACCACTATTTTAAACTGCAATATAAAAGAAATATAGTTCTATTAGAAATATCTTATTGATGTTAAACGCATTTGAGAAAAAGTTTCAATTTCTGTACGCGTGGGACTGCTAAGCCAGTGTATATATATATATAAAAAAATAACATCAAAGCTGAAGGAATGCATTTTTGTTTCTTATCATTTCTTTTCAGCAGACACTTTTCAATTTCGATCGATACATTGTGATGTAAAGTATCCTGACTTTGGCTATGAGCTTAACCGAACGAAAGATTCAATGAAGTTATGGTCACTTGCGCATAAACATTTTGACAAAAGACCACATCCAACTGCCAATTATTAATCAAACTTGTAAAAGGGTAGTCTTTAGCTATGTATTTGAAATTAACTTTACATAGGTTGGACCCCTTTATTTATTTAAGGAATAAGAGAAAAGGTATAGGTTGCTAAAATACCATCGAACAGAATTCAGAAGATGACATCAAAATTAGGCCTAAATGTTCTGAAGGCATTGGGAGAAAAGCGGGGGGGGGGGGGGGGGGGTCAAGGGCATGCATGCCCAATAATCAATGCAATTTTAGCTTAAATTTCCATTTTTCTTTAAAATATATTCTTATGCTACTAGGACGATGGACATATTTTTTTCTTCAGCTTTTAGTGATATTCCACGTTTCCGATGGCGATTTCACGAGTTTCACACAAAATATAATGTTGCAGAACACACTTTTATAAAAATTTAGAATGATGTGTTCCCAAATTCAGAATTTTTATGCACTTAGAAACGACGGAACGTTTTACAAACGTCCGCTTGCAGAAAACTCTTTTTTTTTTTTTTATTTCTTTATATATGTCCGCTTGCAGTAAACTTTTTTTTATGTCTGCTTGCAGTAAAATTAGTTAACGGGTTGGAAACTTTATTAACTACAGTGGAAAGTGCAAGTGTACTAGTGAGCTATACAGCGCTTGAGTGGATCCCATGCACAGGCGGTCATGAAGAGAACCGCCCATGGGTCGGAGAGAGCAATGCAGAAGTACAATTGGTAGCTGAAAGTGTAAATAGAATAATAGAACCTCCGACATGGAAAGCATGGAAAAAAAATATCGTCATATGACAAAAATATCAACTGATCACGCGCATTCTATGACGTGTACATCTCGTTCTTTTTTTTCTTCTGGACACTAAAGCGAACAGACGTGCTTTCTGTAAGTACGTAGATTTTATATATTGTAATTTTGAAATATCTGAGTATTTGTGAAATCAATATAGTGTGGTTTATTTTTTCAGTGAACTATTGATACTATTTTACATATGCCAATTGTTTAACAAAAGTTTGAGAAATTAACTTAATCCATGACCTTTGTTTAATATAAAGGTGTAAAATATACAGCAAATACAGTGACAAGATTCACTTTCCGCTTGAACGCACACAATACACATGTAAACAACAGTAAAGACGGGGTCAGGATTTGTCTTTCCAGCTAAAGTGATACAAAATAAGTCATTTGATAAAATAATTTTATTACATAATACAGCAGATTTCGCTGATTTATAAAAATGCGTGACATTATACAGTTATTTAATGTTTAATCAGTCAATAGACCAGAATGTTTTTCTAAGGGTACTGGGAACAGCTCAATGTGTTCTATTTGGCTGAGGCCAACAACCGATGGTAATAGAACACAGTGAGCTTTTTCCAGCACCGAGGGAAAATGTTCTGGTCTAAAGACTGATCAGACATTAAATAAGAGTTTTATTACCTAATATACTTAGTATATGGGCACTGTCTGTGAATATATTGCCGGTTCGAAATTTGCAAACTATTGACAGGCGATCCAGTGGAGCACTCTAAAGTTACTTAAATTGTACAGGGGAGTGAATATACGGTTACTTAAATTGTACAGGGGAGTGAATATACGGTTACTTAAATTGTACAGAGGAGTGAATATACGGTTACTTAAATTGTACAGGGGAGTGAATATACGGAAAAATAGAAATACTACATATAATTATTAAAACAATGAAAAATATTGCATTAGGTAAAATGCTCTTCTATTTTCTCTGTAATGTACACCATTTCATAATCAAAGTGAACATCACCAAATGCAGGTTTGGAAACTAATTATTCCAAGTTGACTAAAAGCCCAGTTCTTATACGATCATTTTTTTTCTCAAAAAGAAAGAAAGTATAGATAGACAGCTTTGAATTTACCTTAAGCGAAAGCTGTATTTAAATAAAGTCATATTTACTTCCGTATAATTAGAATTTTATATGTTAGATATTGCTTCTAAACTCTAAGACTAACTCATGAGAACGTCTTAGGAACATCAGTTTCTTATGCATGTTTAAATGTAGCATTTCCGAAATAACTTTAACGATTAATATTTACATTTAGTGTAATTTTATTTGTGAAATCCATTAGAAATCTACAACACTCAATATAACACATACGAAACCTTGTCAAGGCGCGGTAGAATCGAAATAGGAACTGCATATAAATGCAATGCACTAGCGACCCAAAAATATACATTGTTTTAGCTCAGTTTAACTAAAACAATTACCCTATTAAATTGTTGTAAAAGTATATCCATTGTACCTTTAGAATTAATTTGTCATTTTTTACCTTACAATATTCATCTGCATTATCTAACTGTCCACGTTAAAACGGCTGTTATATCAATACACTTCACCAATTTTTAAAGACCAACGACTTCCAAAATTAAGAATTCAATGCTTATTATTGTTGACTAAAAATTCCAGACGCCTTACAACGAGGTCTAAAAAAAGTGATTTATTGGCTGAAGGCATAGACTTAGTTTTAATAGTTCTCATTGGTATGTGTCGATTACAAGACTTGTTTTATTTTTAATTCTAAAACTTTATGTTTAATAATTTCATTAATCATTGCAGATAGCGTTTTATCAGTTATCACTCTTCACATTATGGACATTCTAGGATTCAGCACACAGTGTAAAGTACGTCAATGTTATCATTGTCTAGGGGACACAGAATTCTACTGTAACACTAGTAAAGATCATCTTTGTCTAGAGTGTAAAGAAAAACATGCTATTGATTTAGAGACAATTGACCATGTTGTAATTTACTGTGAAAAATATAACTACATCTCAAGACAAGAGTCTATGAAGAGTACTGTCATTCATGTAAACTCCCTGTCTGTCTCCAATGTAAAAAACACCTCGTACTGAATATAAGAGCAGAATATCAATCAGGGCGTCGACAAAACAGAGAAATCATTCGGAACATCAGAAGTGAGACTCTCTTTAACGGTTGCTTTCTCCTGGCAAGAATCAAAACTGATATAAAAAAAATCACTCAGAAATTCAACAATCAGAAATGACAGCAAAAGCCGCGGAAATCAAAAAGCTCACTGACATTGTAATATCTGAGGCTAAAGTCGGGCAAGAAAGTTCGATTATGAAACAACTCAAGAGAAATATAAAAAGTCAAATTGCAAGCATAGAGAACTATGAACCTAGATGTCAACAGTCAAAAATTAGGCCGGTAAAATTTCTTTTATTCCTAAAGAAAATTCATTTCCCGAAGATTAAGGCCACTCCTAAATTTAGACAGCAGGCCCTGCTCTCCCTAACCCATAAAATTAACATGGTGGATGTGATTAATTTATTGAGCGAAATCCAAATCATAGAGACAGGCAAAAGTCAAATAAGAAATGACAGTCTGATGAAACTGATGTCTACACCTGTATTACACAGATCTGTCACAGTGACAGGTGTTCATGAAGGTGTAAGACACATTTCCTGTGTGACGTCAGACCGGGCCTGGATCAGTGATTGGTATGACAATTTCATCTTAACAAACACAAAAGGTGATACCCTAGATAGTATATATGATGGAAATGGAGCACACACAGTGACCATTACAGGTGAACTTATTTATATAGACAAGAAATATAACATAAAACTATATAAAAACGACAGGACAAAATCCACACTGATAAAGCAGATAGAGCCATGGTATCCATGGTGTGTATACTGCTCCCCTTTCAATGGGGATCTACTGGTCGGGATGTATAGAAATGACCCAGTAGAACCAGCCAAAGCAGCACGATATAGCAACACAGGACAACACATACAGACAATACAACACGACATTACGGGTCAGACACTGTATAGAAGTCCTGGGGACATCACAGAGAACCATAATGGAGATGTTAATGTGTCTGACTCTGGTCGTGATGCTATAGTGGTGACAGATCGTGGAGGAAGACATCGTTTCTCCTACACAGGACCACCAGGAGCAGAACTATATCCAACAGGAATCTGTACAGACGTGCTGTCACACATCTTGGTGTGTGATGCTTTCAGCCACACAGTGCAGATGATTGACAAGGACGGAAAATTCCTGTCACTATTTCTGACACCACAACATGGAATAGGTGCACCATGGGTTCTGAGTTATGATAACAAAACCCAGCTTCTCTGGGGTGCATTTAGTAACAACAACAGAGTTTGTATATACAGATATATAGAGAGGAAGGATAATCTGGTTCATTTAATATATTCAGAAAATTTATACAGACGCTGTGCTTTCTGTTAGGTTATTGTAATTAGTTTTTATATGTACAAACGTACGCACATGGATTGATTTGAGAGGTTATTATAATTTGTAAATAAAATACATGTACATAATTGTGTTCATATATAAACAGGACTATTTGACAAGTAATTTCATTTAGTTGATAAGATACATGCACGCATACATACTGAAAGGTCAATACTCCTTATAGGCACCCAATCCCTCCTCTGGAATTTCCGGGGATCGATCGATCCGTACTTAATCTGATTTTTATAGATTTTTATTTATTTTTGGTTGATTTTTTTGGGATCACTATTTGTTATCTTCACATTTTTCATAACAATTGTTAATAAGATATAATAAAAGACAGACATAGAGACAAATAAATATCTAACAGCCAACTCTAAGAAAAGTTTTGAAATTAGGTAAGAGAGATGGAAATCACAAATATTCTATTTACTATTAGCACGATAGTTCATGCATTTACTTGCAAAGAAAAAATGGTATCCATGGATAGTAGAAGAATGCAATAGAATCTAGCAATCAAAGAAAATATGGTTTCCTAACCCTCAAAATGAATAATTAAATTGTAATTATTAGAAATAACTATTTATAATTTTATTAATATATAGGCGTTTCTTACAATCCCCCAAAAGAGATTTCAGTTTGTCTTTATTGGGCTAAACTGATCATGCACACAAACTAGAGAGTGGAGAGCAAGGAAATGAACATTTGAAAGATCTCAATCAGTGTCACCCAGGAGTTTGGAGAAGCTGACTTTCCTTAGACACTGCTTTCACAGCCTTAAAGGAAACTGTCATTCTCTGAGGTGACATGGAATCAGCTGCCCTGAGTCGTCCCTGCCACTGCTGTGTTGTGGATTCAAAATAAACAATTCGTTGTGTCTACGAATAGATCCCTGTTTAGGCCATGTGTTAGTGAATGATGGTTATGTATATATATATATATATATATATATATATATATATATATATATATATATATATATATATATATATATATATATATATATATATATATATATATATATATATATATATATATATTATATATATATATATATATATATATATATATATATATATATATATATATATATATATATATATATATAAAATAAAAAATCCAAAAAAATCACAAAATATTTTTTGCAAGCGCTTTCGCCATGTTAGGCTCTTCAGGCAGTTATAAAAATGTCAGGTAGGTTACCTGGTAACGTCCAAAAGCAAAAGTTCATTGTGACGTCATAATAGATCAAGGTAGCGTAAAGTTGCCGTATTAGATAATGTACAAATATTGCATTAACTTGAACACATAATATGCGTAAAATCTTACAATATGTTATATAATAATGCATCATTTTCGATTAAGTTTGGTTTAAAGAGTTTAAACAGAAATATCCTTATGGACGCTAAAAGATTCTACCCAATTTTAGAACAATCGGAAAATATGAAAAGTTTAATACAACCAAATGATATTATCAATAGTCGACGACAGGCACCCAATCTTAAAAAATTGTTAACCAAGGCCCGTTTTACTACACAGGAGGAAATTCCAACCATTAAAAAATGCGGAGATCCAAGATGCGGAACGTGTACATATTTAGAAGAGGGAAATAGAATCCAACTTAAATCAGGAATGGAAATTAGAACCAATTCACCAATGAACTGTAAATCCGAAAACGTTATCTACTGTGCAATCTGTCCGACGTGCAAAGAATTCTATATTGGACAAACTGTAAAACTAAATGCCGGGTTCGTGTACACAAACAACAAATTAAAGACCCTAGTGTGCGTAATACACCATGTTGTGAACATTTTGCAAAATGCGGCAAAGGAATATTTAAGATTTTCCCTTTTTATAAACTTCCCAATGAAAATGAAAATCTACGTTTGGCAAAAGAGGACTGCTTTATCAAACTCTTTAAACCACAGCTTAATCGAAAATGATGCATTATTATATAACATATTGTAAGATTTTACGCATATTATGTGTTCAAGTTAATGCAATATTTGTACATTATCTAATACGGCAATTTTACGCTACCTTGATCTATTATGACGTCACAATGAACTTTTGCTTTTGGACGTTACCAGGTAACCTACCTGACATTTGTATAACTGCCTGAAGAGCCTAACATGGCGAAAGCGCTTGCAGAAAATATTTTGTGATTTTTTTTGGATTTTTTATTTTTAACACACCCAGCAAAACTGTACCGGTTCTTCATTTTGTTTTTGAAATTTTATATATATATATATATATATATATATATATATATATATATATATATATATATATATATATATATATATATATATATATATATATATATATATATATATATATATATATATATATATATATACATATATATATATATATATGTCCAACAGAATTTGTCACTCCAAGTCACAGCACGTGTAAGTGATGTGTAGTATAACTATTCTCATTGTACAAGGAGGGACAACTCCTATTGATTATCAATGCCAGCACAGCGTTGCTGTATTGTTGTTTATAATGGCGATTTACTGATGCTACTCTATTTTTGTGTTAGTCTTTGTTTTATTGTTAAAGACTAATTTAATGATGCAGTTCCTTCATGAATGTAATGTTAGACAAAAGGGGAGGATCAAAGATTTTGTGCCCTGCTGTATAGACAGGAGGGGTGGATCAAAGATTTTGTGCCCTGCTGTATAGACAGGAGGGGTGGATCAAAGATCCTGTGCCCTGCTGTATAGACAGGAGGGGAGGATCAAAGATTTTGTGCCCTGCTGTATAGACAGGAGGGGTGGATCAAAGATTTTGTGCCCTGCTGTATAGACAGGAGGGGTGGATCAAAGATTTTGTGCCCTGCTGTTTAGACATGAGGGGTGGATCAAAGATCCTGTGCCCTGCTGCATTGGTTTAGGGTATAATCCTTTACTCCTGATGTAGATGGTTTTATTTTCAAGGTCACCAGGGCACATAAAAAAGCTTCTGCTTTTTGTTTGAGAACACAATTTTTTTCAGAAGTCGTTTTATTGGTTTTGTGATACAATGTGTGTTTTTTTTTTTTGGTCTTCGGTTTTCGAAGATTTTATGAACATTTATCTCATGATCATGCATTGATTATTTCATATGTAGATATTTTAACAGATTTTGTAAATATATGTCATTTTGTAAATAGTATGTATAGATAAAGCTATATATAGACAGTTAGTCATATTTACTTCACTGCAAAAGGGACACCAAGATTTTAATTATTTGGTAACTCAACATTTATTCTTAAAACTTTAAATTTAGATAATTCTTCAATCATCTTAAATGTCTATTTGGTTTCATATTTGCAGCTAAATGACTGCTTTTACATTATTCTTGACTTGAGTATTTGAGTTTGTGCTACAAGAGGTTTGATATTATTACGTGAAGTCGTGTATTGGACTTTATTCCTGTATACACTTGACAAAAAGTGACTTCTTTTTGTTGGACATACATTAATCGGGTAAAACATTCAGTTTCTGTAATCAGTTGATATTTCCACTCTTTATGGTTACAAATACACATGGTATATCCCTGAATCAAGAAATGCTACGCAAAGACAAATGTTCAAAATAAAACAAAAACAAAATTAAAAAAAAACCCAAATCTGTAGTCATTCCACAATGCCAGAAAATGATTAATAGTGCTAGATTATTCTGGTTTTGAAACACATTGGTGCCAATATTTGAGTTCTCCTATTTTTTTTTTCTTTTTTTTTTTTTTTGTAATAATTCCAAAAAAAAGTGTCTATTCAATACACAAGTGCTAATTAATCCTGTTTATTTTTAAAATTGTGACATAAATATGAAAAATTAATTTTACCTGAAAGAGGGGTGAGGGTTGGGTCTATTACAATAAGTTTTTCAATATTCTATTTTCTCTTTGTATTGTCCATTTTCTATTTTAAATGTATGAAATAAGTAACGGGTGATGCAACAATAAAAATTATTTTCAAAGGTAGAGGGATCTTTTAGCTTCAGTGTTGGATTACAAATTTATAGGTTGGCCCTTTATATGGCTATTTAGAGACCAGCAAAGAGCATCATTGGATAAATTTAATTAAAACTGTAAACAAAAACACTCCAGATATCTCTTGCGAAATAATGTTTCTTTCAGGAAATAGAAAAAATTTAAATCATTTACAAATGGAAAACTCTTCCCTCATTGTCTTAAACAATTTTTATCTAAGACTGTTTTTAATGCTGAAACTGTGATAACGTTCTGTATTAGACATTGAGCCATTTTGTAGTACTCGTGAACACACCGGAGAACTGATGATACACAAATGCAAGCCATAGGCTAACTCTTTATGTTTTGTAAATGATGTTTATTTTTGAGAGGAGTGTGTGTTAGTGCAATAGAAGTAGATGAAATGTTTTTTTTTTTCTCATAAAAAATCTTAATATTTTGTGAACATGATTTCTATAGTCAGTCAGTTGTACAAATCGACTACAATCCCGTAACTATGTTTTGTATCCCCCTCCCCCTTTCTTTAAAATGGTAGACTGATCATAAATTTTTGATTTATTTTCAAAAGATAGAGTACAAAATCAAGAGTTTTAAAGTATTTACTGTGGTAGAAAAAGATTTATATATGTTGGAATGACAACAGACTGCCTTATGACTTTCTTCAGACCCGGTTTTGTACAGTTGCTCAATAGATTCTGAAAGATAATGATTTGTATGTGCTATATGTTTATGTATAATGTGATAATTATTAATCATTACTAAGTATTTACTAAACTCTCTGAAGAAAGGAATTTAACAAATGTTACTCTTCTGTGAAAAATATTTATTTTATCCAGTGTTTTAGTTATAATGATATAACGTTTTATTTGCACGTGTATGTTTAAAAAAATGAATATTTTTCTATCACTAAGTTGATTTTCTTTACAAATTTATTGACATTGAGAAACATTTTTTTAATGTATTATAAATTTTTAAAAAGTTTTTTTTAATTTCTTTATTTCTGATAGTAATGG